ATCTCCTGTATTATCTGTGATAATGTCCCGAATACGAGAATTTTTCATCATTAGGAACTATTAATGCTATTCTCCATCAATGCACTGGGTCCATAGGAAAGTCTGAATTTCAGCCAGTACTGCCACATACAAATTAATTGGTAGGTGACTGAGAATTGTACTTTGCTATATTTCCTGCAGCGCCTAGTACTGTGCCCCTTTTCTGGGTCCTGAAGTATATATGTCTATAAATTCATCATTACTAATATATAATAATCTCTATTACCCCCCTCAAAAAAAATCCCAGTGAAACAAATTAGTTATTTCCTGAAAATGCAAAAGCAATATAAAAGCTGAATAAAATCCACACATTTAAAAGCAGTTTTCTTTTTCCTTCTAGATTCTGAATATATGACCCAAAGTCAGAGAAGCTATCGGGTTTTTGGGAATATTGGCTAGATTTAAACATTCAAGCACATTGTAATAATAATAGATTAGATTAATCATTTTATAAGCTTATGTAATGATCTTCACTACTTGGGTTTTTAGTGGTTAACTTTCCTTTCTCCTGTAGATATTAGATTCCCCTTTCCTATTTTCTTTGTAGTTTATAGAAAAGCAATAAAAAATCCCCTTCGGGGGGGCCCAAAAATAAATAATCTTAGTGAAACAAATCAGTTATTTCCTGAAAATGCAAAAGCGATATAAAAGTTGAATAAAATCTGTTGTGTCCTGGGAACCGCCACAAGCCTAGCTATCGCTCACCACCGCATCTGGAGTCATGCCCATCGTCCATCACGACCAGCATGATCGACCCTGAGTCCACAGCCAGCGCAGCATCGAGCACCGAGCCGGAGGAGGAAGAGTCCTTTGAAGTGGCCAGACCCTGGGTTACACTACCAAAGGAGAGAGATTTGGAATTTTTAATTCCTGGTGGCAGCAGATAACTACCAAGTTTATATATACAAAGTGTGAATTAAAGGAAAAACCATTTCCCCTATAAGCAAGCATGTCACAGCGTATGATTTAAAGGAAAAACAGTTGTCCCTCCAATAGTAAGGATGCCACACACACACACCCTCCCCGCTGTTCCAGACACAAGGGACAGCCACTGAAAAAGCACAGGAGCCATTACAGAAAAGGCCTGCGACAAGGGGGCATACTTGCAGGGAAGAACAAAGTTGCTGCATGGGAACATGTAGGGAGAGGCAATGCTTCATGTTTTGTTTTGTTTTTTTTTGTTTTTTAAATATGGTGCACCTAAAAGGTGTCTCAAACATGCTGAAAGCAGACCATTTAAAAGAATGAGGCACAGTGCAAGCTTTTCAGTTCTGAATAACTCTTCATTGTCCTGGATGTTCAGTACCAAAAAACCCCCCTCTCCCCTCCCCCCAAAGAATTTGTGTCATGTTGTGGCTGCAGCAAAATGACCCCTGGAAATGTCCTTGTTCCTCCAACCAGCCTTCTTTTTTTTCTTTTTTTAAAATAATATACTGCATTAGAGATATACAAAATCAAGCAGAGTATAAATAACAAACAGTAAACACTTTGCTTTAAAAAACTGTAGCTACATTGAAGTCTAAATCCAAAAGCAGTTTTAAAAAATATCATTACTAAGTTTATACGAAATAAATATATATCAACTAAAGACTATTATTATGAGAATACTGATAAGAGCTATATTGTTATATACAGTGCAGAGTTTGTAATAATGAAATACGTTATATTGTTTTATGTTCAGAAGTATAACCAAGAAGCATAGGCCGGATTGTTTGGGAGTAAATCCTTCTCAGTCATATATTGAAGGTAAGGGAACCAGGTGCGCTCAAAGAGTGATTTCGTTGTACCGAGCTTCGTTTGAGCTATATTTAAAGTGTCATCTTATCCATCAGGAATTGTTCCCACACTTTATTTCTCCAGGCCTCTAAACTTTGAGACTTAGGTGACTTCCACGCAGCTGCGATGGTGGTTTGTGCCGCCGTAAGGAGGTATGATGTTAACTGTTGTAGCGGTTCTTCATTGTGAGCTGGATCTCTAAAATGTAATAGGATAACTTTAGGAGAAAGCGGGAAGTTCTGTCCTGTTATTTTTGAAATTTCGGAAATTATCTGCACCCAGAAGCTTTGCACATGAGGACATTGCCACCAGCAATGTATATAATCTCCTACCGCCCCACATTTTTTCAAACACAATGGTGAGTATGCTTTATTCATGTGGTTTAGGCGGCCAGGAGTATAATACAATCGAGAAACTGTTTTAAAAAATTGCATTCTTACTTTAAAAAATTTTGATTTATTGGCTTTAGATGACCAAATCTGAGACCATTGTTGTTCAGACAGTTCAGTTTGTAAATCTCATTGCCAGGCCGACTGGAATGCCATTTTTGTTGTGCTGTTAAATTCTGTTAAGATTTTATATATTTTTGAAAGGAGGTGTTTTGAGGAGTCAGAAAGTGTCTCTAACAATAATTCAAATTGAGTTTTGGGACTCTCAAAGATCTTTTTGTCAGCCAAATACTCTACAAGACTCCTTAAATGATGGTATCTGAGCCATGGAATAGGTTTACCGATTCGCTCCTCAAAAAAATTCTTGTTCATTATTTTTCCTTTCTTAACCAAATCTCGGAGTTGATTAAAGCCCGCATCCATCCAGACTTGAAATGCCCCCGGCTCCTGGCCTGGTGGAAACCACCCCTGATTTGTATACGCTGATAGTTGTGAAATGGAGGGTACCAGA